TTAACTCACTCCCTTTCCCCCTTCTCCAGCGGGATGGGAAGGAAGTGAAACACACACACACGCACACACACATCCGTCCTTCATCTGGGTAGACAGGGCTGTGAGCAGCACGATCTTGTGAAAGATGTCCCTTAACAATGGCAGGGGATTGGACTGGACGACCTTTAAAGGTCCCTTCCAACCCAAACCATTCTATGATTCCATGAAGAGACCGTGGTACTGGAGGGGCTGCGTGCAAGAGAGCTGAGAGAGCAGGCCAATGTCACCGTGGGGCAATTTTGTACCGTACTGGAGGGGCTGTGGAGGTGAAGGGAACCATCTGGCCTTTGGCAAAAAGCAAATGTTGGTTGCATATTCAAGAAGGCCCAAAGACAGAGCTGGGGAATGAAGTGCTGTTTAACCTCACTTTGGTGCGGACGTTTTCTCCAGAACGTGTCCTCCTTGATCACATTCTGGGCCCAGCAAGGAGAAACTGATGGGGAACAGCCAGCACGGATGTACGTAGGGTAGATCACGCCTAAGCTACCTCAATGCCTCCCACAATGAAAAGACTGCACTTCTGGATCAGAGAAGAGCAGTAGATGGCATTTCCAGGACAGCAAGGCTTTCAACACCACCCCCCACAATACTCTTGTCTCCAAGGTGGCACATACCAGGCTGGATTGGTGAGTATGTAGGTTGGTAAAAACTGGTTACACAGCGGTGCTCAGAAAGACAGTTAGTGCAAAATATTCCACCTGGAGACTGGTGATGAGGGGAGTCCTGAGGGGTCCCAGCACCTGTCCGGTTTAACATCTTTCTTATGACCTGGGGGAGCCAGTGGAGGTTTTGCTCGTGAAGTTGCAGATGATACCCTGTTGGTGGGACTGGTTGGGTTGACACACAAGGACATGGCTGCCATGCAAAGGGACCTAGATACGCTCAAAGGAATGGGCCAACGGGAGCCTCATGAAAACCAGCAAGGGCAAACACACAGTCCTGCACCAGGCGTGGTCTGAGTCCCTTCTGGAGACTATGTGGCTTGGGAGCAGCTCTGGCAGAAACAGTCCTCTACTCAGGACTCATTCGACTACATCTAGGTACTGCATCCAGTTTGGTGGCCCTCCATAAAAGAGAGAGCGATCAGGAAACTGGAGTGAGTTCAGCAGAGGGTCCGCAAGATGCTCTAGGGCTGGAGCACCTGTCTTCTGAGAAGGGGCTGAGGGAGCCGAGCTTGTTCAGCCTCCGGGGGAGGCCTCGGGGGCACCTCCTCACAGCCTGTGGCTTTTGAATGCCTACATCTTTGGAGCAGGAAGAGCCAGACTCTTCATCATGGTGCACAGTGCAGCATGAGGGAAGACTTCAAGCTCTTCCCCACCCTGCCTGGAGGGCCAGGGCACTTGTTTCACACAGGAGTCAGGGCGGGGTGGGGGTGCCGACAGTTTGAGTGGAGGAAATGCCTTGGGCTCCAATGGAAGCTCCAAATTTGAACTAGCACTACTCCGCTGGCTGCAATTAGACATGAGTTACCTGACACTCCAATGAATTCACACTTGGCTGGTGGAGTTTTCTTAAACATCTCCCTGAGGAAAGCAGTGGTGGGGAAGAGGAGAGAATTCTTTAGTTTCCCAGATCCCAGGGTGCTTGGCAAGCCACCCCTTTCTCCCCCTCTGCCATCCCGTTCCCTGGGCAGCACATCTGGTGGAGCTCCAGACTATAATCGTGGGGGTCCCTGCACAGGTTGCATTAAGACAAGTCTTCATCTGCCTAAAAACATGGGAAATAGTAATCTGCATCTCCATCAGACCTAGCGGGCATCTTTTCACAGAATCACAGAATGGTCAGGGTTGGAAGGGACCTCTGGAGATCATCTAGTCCAACCCCCCTGCCAGAGCACAGTCACCTACAACAGGTTGCACAGGACGGCGTCCAGGCGGGTTTTGAATGTCTCCAGAGTGGGAGACTCCACCACCTCTCTGGGCAGCCTGTGCCAGTGCTCCACTACCCTCAAAGTAAAGATGTTCCTCCTCATGTTAAAAAGGAACTTCCTATGTTCAAGCTTGTGCCCATTACCCCTCGTCCTATCACTGGGCACCACTGAAAAAAAGACTGTTCCCACCCCCCTGGCACCTCCCTTTAAGTATTTGTAAGCATTAATAAGATCCCCCCTCAGTCTTCTTTTCTCTAGACTAAAGAGACCCAAGTCCCTCAGCCTTTCCTCATATGAGAGATGTTCTAATCCCCTCATCATCTTTGTGGCCCTTTGCTGGACCCTCTCCAGCAGATCCCTGTCTTTCTTGAACTAGGGAGCCCACAAATGGACGCAGTACTCCAGTGACCATGTAACCATTACGCAGTACTCCAGTAACCAGTAACCATTACTTTCCACGTAACCAATCAGATCAACGGCAGGCAGGACTCCCCATCCCAAAGTGCACATCTGAAATGGATCAGACAGAGGGTGCTGTCATTCCTCCAGCAGGACGTGGCCTCTAAGCCAGCCCAGGAGGTGGCCGCTCCAGCCCAGGAGGTGGCCACTCAGACAAGGCTTCCTCTGAGGGAAGCTGCTGTCCAGATGGAGGGCTCCAAAGTCTGTACCCCACACTCCTGGGTGGAGGAACCCAGCAAGCTCCACATGCTGGCAATTTTGAATCATTAGCACTAGTGGCCTTTCTTAGGCCATTAAAATGAGCCCAGAATTAACAAAGGTCTCCTTAGTTCAGGGATTTGGAGGTGTGTAAGTTTTGCTGTGGCTGGTGCTCTAGTGAACACAGAGGATGGAGCCGAGAGAGACACCTGAGTCTCCGTACGGGGCACTCCTGTGTTTGGTCAGCTCAAGAGCTCGGCATGCTCCAGAGATATATGTGACAAGGTGCATTCAGGTGCCCTAAACATACAGGTCTGGTGTCATTTAGGATGGCCAAGGGAATCCCCCTTCCCCCTCTGGACCTCAGCTGATGGTCAGGAAGGATGTTAGAATTCTCCATCAGAATTTCCATCAGAGCTCGCAAACACTGGCCCACGTCATGGACCACCCCTGGCCCCTCAGTCACCCCCAAGGGTCTGTGGGTGAGCACCTGAGTGCCCACACGATCAAGACCAGGGGCTCAGAGCAGGGGCTCACCCGCAGGCAACGCTGTTGTGCAGCCCTGAGCTGAAGCAAGAGGGATCCCAGCTCCTCTGGCTGGGTGGGGTGCATGAGGGGAGCTGAATCCTGCTTCTTCCAGCTGGGGAGGAGATGCCTGCAGTGCCTCAGCTGAAACACTGCCCGGCACAGGGGAAGCCATCCCCTCCCCGTCCCTGTCTCTGTGTCCTTTTTGTTACGGGACAGGAACGGCCATGTCCAGGGGGAACATTGACACCTCTCGCAGACAACCACGCTCTGGTGGGACAATCTCTGCTGCAGGAATCGGTCCTTCTCCACAGTTTAGAGAGGGATCATTGGTGATTATTTTGTTGACTCCCAAGTACGTTCCCCAGGGATGCTGCTGCTGCCTTTCAGGCTCTGTCCGCCCTGGAGCCCCAGGGACACCTGGAGAGAGCCCAGAGGGGAGCGAGAAAGGGACACCGTGGGCCGCTCCTCTGCTGCTGAGCTGGGCCAGGCTCCTGGGATGGAGGGAGATCATGGCAAGCGGGCAGCGCTGCGGAGAGAGAGCTCTGCCCAGGAGCAGCTCCTCTGCACAGCGCAGCACTGCCTGTAGGCACCGAGTGGAGAGGATGGATGCGAGAGAGATGTTACGGGCAGTGTGAAACGGGGGGGTGGTGAGAGCTCACTGGAGGAGAAATCTTCACAGCCCTTAACGCAGTAAGTCTCCGGCTGCAGGGCAACATACATTCTCGAGGGTCTCCTCGAGCTGGCACATCCCAGAGCAGATAGGATCTGGCAGGATGGCTCTCAGGGTTTCTTTCACGGGTAGAAGGACATGCTGCAGAGCAGCGCTTCCCTGCTGCACCCTCAGAGGGACAGGGCATCCCGGCTGCCTTCTTCCCAGGATGGCTGCAGGGCTGTGAATGCAGGTGCGCAGCCAGGGCCATCCCAGGGCTGTCCTTCAGAGCGGGGTCCCTGCACCCCGGGGGCTGTGTGCTGGGGCAGGGGCTCTGCCACCGTCCAGGGTCAGCTCTCCGCCTGCCCGGGGAGCTCCCACGGAGCTGTGGGGAGAAGCTGTGGGTGGAAGGAGCGACCCCGGGCAGGGCAGGGTCCTTCTGCTGTTGGGATGGTGCTAGGTGGGTCGGGGCTGCTCACAGCTCCCCATCACCCCCAGGACATTGGCAGAGGGGGCTTTAGAAGAAGGACGGCAACGCAGCACTTCCGTTAAAGGGTAGTTGTTTGTTCTTTGTGGTTTGTCCTCTGCGGTTTTCTGGGTGGGCAGCGGGAGATGGGATTCATTGCTCCGTTCTGGAGAAGGCACTGAGACTCCAGCTCTCATTAGGACCTTTTTGCGCTGTTCCTCTGGCCTTGCATACAGAGAGAGGCCCCTGGGCAGTGCCCAGCTACCAGGTGTCTGCAGGGCAGAGCTGAGCGCACAGCGGGTGGGATGGGGTCTGTGAACATGGACAGGGAGCAGATGTGGGGACAGAGAAGAAGCTTCAGGCAGGGACGGCTCCAGTCACGCAATGTAGTACACAACACCGCAGTCTAAAAGCACCTGCCCTGAAGGGTCACTGCCTGTGAGGTGGTGAGTGGAGGTGGGTAAGGAGAAGGCTTCGTTTGATGCCCATCTATCTCTCTTTCTCATTTTGCTTCATCTGGTGGGAGCGTTGTGATACTCTTCCTTGTTTCTCCACATGTACCTGGTGCTCTGGCTCTCTGTGGTTGAGGTGGGGGTACAGGTCAGCTTTTCTTTTTACACTGACTCTGGGGGACCTTCCCTGGACGTGTCTTCATGGAAAGTACGTACCATTCCTCCAATTTCATCAGAAGATTTTAGGGTTTTTCCTTAAAAAGTCTCTCAAAACTTCTCACTGTTTTTTTCCTCTTTAGCAGGCCCGGATGCCCTCAGGCAGCGCAAGTCCAATACCAAATGTCCAATGGCAGCTCCATCACTGAGTTCTTCCTACTGCAGTTTGCAAACACACGGGAGTGGCAGCTCTTACACCTCTCGCTCTTTCTGGGCGTTTACATGGCATCCCTCCTGGGCAACGGCCTCATCATCACCGCCATCGCCTGCAACCACCACCTCCACACCCCCATGTACTTCTTCCTCCTCAACCTCTCCCTCCTCGACCTGGGCTCCATCTCCACCACCCTCCCCAAAGCCATGGCCAACTCCCTCTGGGACACCAGGACCATTTCTTTCATGGGATGTGCTGCCCAAGTCTTTTTCTTTCTCTTTTTGATGTCAGTGGAGTATTTTCTTCTCACCGTCATGGCCTACGACCGCTACGTTGCCATCTGCCACCCCCTGCACTACGGGACCCTCCTGGGCAGCAGAGCTTGTGTCCGCATGGCAGCAGCTGCCTGGGGCAGTGGTTTCCTTTATGCCATGCTGCACACTCCCAATACATTTTCACTACCCCTCTGCCAGGGCAATACCATAGACCAGTTCTTCTGTGAAATACCTCAGATCCTCAAGCTCTCCTGCTCAGGCTCCTTACTCAGGCAATTTGGGGTTCTTATATTTAGTGCTATTTTAGCTTTTGGGTGCTTTATTCTCATTGTGCTGTCCTATATGCAGATCTTCACAATTGTGCTGAGGATCCCCTCCAGGCAGGGCCGGCACAAAGCCTTTTCCACGTGCCTCCCTCACCTGGCCGTGCTCTCCCTCTACGTCAGCACTGGCATGTTCACCTACCTGAAGGCCCCCTCCATCTCCTCCGAGTCCCTGAATCTGGTGATGGCTGTTCTGTACTCGGTGGTGCCTCCCACAGTGAACCCCCTCATCTACAGCGTGAGGAATCAGGAGCTCAAGGATACTATGAGGAAAGTGATTTCATGGATATTTTTCAGTACTTATAAACTTCCCTTCTCGCTGCACCGATGACTCCCATGGTACCACATTGCAGGCACATGCTTTATTTATCATTGTCATTATCTGTAGAACATAAATGTCTGAATTCACTTCTCTGCTAAGGATGAATGAACCTTCTCTGCGTCACAGCCGCATCTCCCATAGCGTCTATGGCATTACCCCAGTGAGATCATCAAGTCCAACTATCAACCTACCCTGACAAAACCACCTCTAAACCATGTTCCTACGTACCACATCTACTCTTTTTTTAAACACCTCCAGGGATGGCGAATCCACCACCTCCCTGGGCAGCCTATTCCAATGTTTAATAGCCCTTTCAGTGATAATTTTTTTTCCAACACCCAATCTAAATGTCGCCTGGCATAACTTGAATCCAGGCGACATTTGACATTGACTTGAATCCAATAACTTGAATCATTATGTCCTTCATGCAGAAAGTAAGGAATAGAAGGAACCTTGGCATTGAAGTTGCTTTTTTACAACATCATATTTCAATAAAACCACCTTTGGCGGTGGTTCTTTAAGCGGTCTCAATCACCCTCCCACCACAAATTGGCATCATGGACAGGATGCTAAATCTGATCTGATCAGAGTGACCAAGAAGGTCAGGGGACTGATGCTTATAAAGCAGAAGAAGAGGCTGAGAGACGTGGGTTTGCTCGGTCTTAAGGAGGCAAAAGGGAGACCTCAAAGCCATGTTCACTCAGCGGGAGGTGAAGAGAAGGAGCATGTGGAGCAGTGTGGCTGCAGAGAGATGCACAGAGCCCTTACACTTCTCCACGTGAGCCCCTCCCGAGCTCTTCCCTTTGATCGCCCCCATGCCCTCCCATGGGGGAGCCCACAGTTAAACCTTTCCTCACCGGGCCAGCTTTGGCTTCTTTTGTCCCCTCATTCGGTGTTTCTGGGATGGTCACCGTGGTAGTACCTACCGCAGCTTGCAATTTCATTTAACTAGTAGCTCCTCTTTTCATGTCTTACCTGCCCTGCCCTATAATTGCCTCATGCTCTGACCTCGTTAGGGATGCCACAGATCAGGTGGGCCATCAGCACGCCGACGCTAACAGTTGGCACAGTGGAGCTTCACTGCAAGTGGACCTTGAGAAACTCAGGGATTTGGCCAACTGAAACTTCAAGAAGTTTTCAGGGAGACGCATCTTCTGCGTTTGTTGGTCTGACCTTCTACATGAGGGGGCAAAACAGCCCCTCTTAAAGCAAGGCGGGCTCGTATCGGAACTGGATGAGGAAAAACATCGAGGAGAAGGGTCCGGGCATAACGGAGCAGTGGTGCTACCCCTAATTATGGGTATGTGCACATTGGTCTGCACTGGGAGTAGCGTGGCCACCCAGGTTGAGTTATCAAGCCCTGGCCCGGACTCAGCACGTGTGGGACCACATCTGGAATAGTGTGGCCTCATGTGGGCATGCCTTTTCTGGAGGAGCGGGGAGGAACTGGAGCGGGCCCATAAGAGGTCTGCCAAGATGGGGTTAGCGGCCATGTGTGGAAAAGCTGAGAGGTGGGGACCTCATTGGCCTGGTGAAGTGGAGGCTCAAGAAAATACAGTAGTGGCTTGAGAAATCTCGATGGTCACTTTCAGAGATGATTGCATGGTTTTGGTAGAAGGAAAGAGCATGAGAGAGGAAAACCCCAAGAAACTGCAGTTCTGGAAGTCCAGATGGATGTGAGGAGACAGAAATGTCACTTGAAGGAGGGTGGTGCTTTGGCACAACAGATCGCTCAGAGGGAGTCTGGGTTAGGGGATGATTTTGTGTTTGAAGGAAGAGCCAGTGAGGATGGAGAGATGTCAGTAAAGGTAGGGACATGCCGGGGTGAGAACCAGGTGGGGAAGTGAGTTGGAATGTCACCTTCACCTGGCATCACCCCCCCCACACACATCCCATGAAGAGCCCTGAGCCGTGTGAGATGGACAGGATCTCTCCTCTGAGCAGGTGGGGTCAGGGCTTGGCATTTGGTGTGATAAAACACACCAAGGCTTTACTCAGCACCAGAGCCACCGGTGCTTGGCCTGCGCCTGCCTGTCATCACTGCCTCCAACTTTCCGCTCTAACGAGTCCGTGGGGAGGCTGTCTTGGTATTGGCCCTCGGTGGGGCTCATTAATACTCCAAGAAACTTCAGCGTTTCCTTCTGACTCCTTGAGCAGTTTGTGCAATCTCCTCTCAGCACTGCAGGTCCGTGGACTCAGCACCAAAACCACCATGGGGCTCATTACAAGGCAGAGAGCCCTCGGGTGCCTCGTGTCTTCCCATAATCTTCATCAAGTCTTCGGCAGCTAATTGGAGAGGTTTCAGGAGGGTAGTTAAAGGGGAAGACTTCAATGAGTACTTAATGAAAAAGGTTTTATGCGTTTTAAGGTCTTTTTTAAATTTATTTTTCAGTTTACTGAAGAAGTGATAACAACATTCTAAAACTGGTATTGACCCAGAGGATCACCTAAGCAGATATGGGCAGGTAGGAAAAGCAGTCCCTTGAGGCCAGACACTCGATGGACATCCATGCTCCTCACCTCCCCCACCCCTCCATTTCTCTCATCGCCCCCCTGGGCCTTGCATCACTTCTCCTTACATCAGACTTCTCCGCTGAAGTCTGCAGCGGGATGTTGCAGCACCTTGGCACCAATTCCCTCCCGCTTTCCTCAGAGAACTGGCACAGGAGCACTTCTCCTCATTGACAAAAAACAAAAGCTACACATGATGCAATTCGACAAGCTTTAAAACACTCTCCTATTCCACATGCCAAGTCCAAGCTGCACCTCATGAGGGCCACCTTCCACAAGGGATATCTGGACAAGAACTCTTTTAGACAGAGAGCTAGGAAAGGATAGATATAAACATAATTAAGGATTTGAGTCAAGAGTTCATTAGACTTCTGAGAGATGGGGCAAGTTTCTAACTGCCTGAGGCTCAAAGCAGCAACCACAGAGTTTGGAGGAATCTGAGTGACCTACGAGCCAGGGGAGGGGGAAACCTGGAGAGCCATGGGAAGGGTGTGTGTCCAGATAGACTGCTGAAAAGATGCCCTTAGGCAAGGTCACTTAATCAGGAGAGGTGGGAACAGCTGAAAGGTGAAGGAGATGAACCACACGGTGTAGTAGACAGAGTAGTGGCCATGCAAGTAGAGGGGAAGATCAATACTTCTCCTATGAATAACGCCCTTCCTGGACATTCCCTTTCCCTGGCATGGTGGGAAAAGACGGTCATTTCATTAAAAGTACTCAGTTGTTTTGACTGATGAAAAATGATGGAAAAAATGTTTGCCTTTCCAGGCAGACCTCAGCTGCCTGACCATAAACATCCAGTGTCTTGTTTGGAGGGCCCACTCTGACTGAGGTGTTTGCCTGGGACCGGCAGGTATCGCAGAGGAGAGCAGAGCCCCTCGGGACCTGCAGGTGGAGGCTGGGCAGGGGGTCCTCACCATGAATACAAGGCATGTATTGAGGAGTCCTGTGTGGGATCCATTCCCCTAATTCCCAAAACAGACGTGTCTGAACTTCAAGTAGGAAAGAAAGTGAAGGTGCAGAGAAGCAGACTGCAGGGGTGGAGAAATCCCAGCCCAGGAAAGCCCCGGTTTTCTCCCTACATCTCGGTGCGGAGCCAGACAAGGCACTCGGAGGTGCTTCAAGCTGACTGCAATGAGTTTCAAGAGTAACACAGAGAGGTCAGAGGCAGCGCCTCCCAGGCTATAGTTGCAGTGAAGAGCGAGGAGGAGGAGAAGGAATTCACATGCCTTGCACTGGATGGCCACACAGGGTGTCGTGGTTTAGGCCAAATCGGCTACCGGGGCCCCGGGGTCCCCAGGTGGGACCGACAGATGCTCCCCTCTACCCCTCTTCAAAGAGAGCGGCAGAGGAGGAAAAAGAGACTTACGAGTTTAGAAGGAGCTGAACTACTTTAATGAAATATTAATAATACAATAAAAAAGAAATAACGAAATCTATACAAAACCGTATCAAGCTCCCGAGATGACAATCACGACACCGGCTGGCACTGGGGCAGTCCCAGGCTGGGCTCAGTGACGGACGGGAACTGGATTCCGGATCTGCATTCAGGGTCGGGATCGCAGGCAGACGAACAGAGTCCTCCTCAGTCCCCAGGGGGGACCGACAGATGCTCCCCTCTACCCCTCTTCAAAGAGAGCGGCAGAGGAGGAAAAAGAGACTTACGAGTTTAGAAGGAGCTGAACTACTTTAATGAAATATTAATAATAAAATAAAAAAGAAATAACGAAATCTATACAAAACCGTATCAAGCTCCCGAGATGACAATCACGACACCGGCTGGCACTGGGGCAGTCCCAGGCTGGGCTCAGTGACGGACGGGAACTGGATTCCGGATCTGCATTCAGGGTCGGGATCGCAGGCAGACGAACAGAGTCCTCCTCAGACGTCGGCCATTGCAGGAAGAGAGAAGGGAGCTTTGATCCCTCAGCCTTTGTACTGAGCATGAGGCAGATGGGATAAACAATCGGTCTTATCACTCTGAGAGAGTGAACATTGTCTGTACGATATTCTGTTAATTTCAGTAGTTAGAAGAGGCCTAGCTAAGAAGTAAAGTTACTGAACAAAATTGGTCCTGTTTTACCTCGAGCCAGGACACAGGGCACAGGAGGATTCATGTACCATCATGCCACAGACATGTACAGAGGCCTCTGCTCAGCCAGACTGGGTTCATGGCGCGGGAGAGGTGGAGGGGATGCAGATCTTCCTGGCCAAACACGATGATCACAAAGCAAATGCCCAATGGCGAGGATGTTCCCGAGATGAACTGGAAATCACTCGTGAAGAGACATGGGCAGCTTATTGCTGCTGACAGACAAGTGATTGACTCAGCTTCTTCAGTGTGCCTTTGAGCTGCCCGTTCCTCATGCTGCAGATGAGGGGGCTCAGTGCTGGGGGCACCACCGAGTAGAGAACAGCCATGAGCAGATCCAGGGAGTGGGAGGAGGTGGAGGGGGGCTTCAGGGAGGTGAACATGCCAGTGCTGACGTAGAGGGAGA